GAGCAAAAATCAGGAATTCATATACTGTAATTAGGATTGTCTCTATACTAATTAAAATACAAGAAATAAATATACCTACCTATTTTACATAAAATGTAAATTGAAATTAACTAAGGGCTACTTACTTGATTTTTGTGCAAATCTACAATTTGGAATTTTTGTTTTCATTATTGTAAAAAATGATTAAAGGAATAAAGGTAGTATGAATTTGGCAATAGTACCTAACGTTTTTCTAAATTAATTAGTGATTAAATAATAAACTTAATTAATGTGAAAATAAGAAGATCTCTATTTACTAGTGTTTGACTAAGAAAAATGCATCAAACGGCAACACAAAAGAAAATTATTAAAAAAAGTTAACGAATAAATTTTTAGGAGATGATACTAGGAATTTAAAATCGCCTTTTTATTATCATCAGACGTTTTTAATATTCATTAAAAGATCGTACCATTACTTTTGTTATACTATTTGACCATTTTTCTAGTATAAACACAGTATTTAAATCTAAAAAAAATTCACAGATTGGCAAATAAATATTTCTCGATACTAAAAAGTAAAATTAACTTAATTTATTCCATCATATTTAGTATGGACTTTTGCTAAAAATATTTCATTTACGAAAACGATTTTATTTTTCTTAAGTAGGTAGGTATTTGACAAAGCTCCAATTTTTAACGATGCTATTGTAAAAAATATCACGCATTACCTACTTGTGGTAGGTGTTTTATCGCAGAATAACGGAATTTGATCTTTTTTAAATGAATATGTAAATATAATTACATGTTAATTATTTTATCATTGAAAAACCCCATGCATATTCAGTTGTAGTGGCCATGAAAATTATTATTATTAGTAATCTTATGTCCCAATTCGGTAATTACATAATTATAATTGAAATTAATTTAATTAATAAAATTGTTAAATTTTGATAGTTGGTCCACGCCCCTGTAACTGACGAAACGGAGTCCACAGGTATCAAAACTGAACGTTTACAAATCAGGTGTTTTCCATCCCACCCATTTCTAAAAATATCAAAGCGTCATCCCACGCATTGGCGAACCGTTATTTTCGATTCGACAAGGCCGTTAAATATTGCATCTTAAAAATCATTGTATTTATCAGAAATCTAATGTAGTTGAAAAAACAAAAATGAACTTTGATCATTGAGAGGTTTGCAAACTCCAGTACCGAGAAATTGAAAGCAATTGGACTTTTACGACTTTTAGTGCCAATTAGTTGATTCAAAAAGTTAAATTGAATGACAAAATTTAGTCATATTATGGAATATCTTCGAATCCAAAATTTAATAAAAAGTAAATATTATATAAAAGGCAATAGTTATAAAAAAACTGGATTAACTAAAGATTATAACAAAAATTACCATTTCTTATTGTAACTGTTCAAAAGGTGCTTCATCTACTTCCTAACAGTAAAACATGACTAAACTCTTGTCGTACTCGTTTAGATGTTTCAGCCGAAATTGCCCTATATTCTTCAACAATTCGTTGTTTTAAACATTAATACTGTCAGGAACTGTAGCCTAAATCTTAGATTTAAGGTACAGAAGTAAAGGTCACAGAAAAAATCTAAAAGTGTGAGGTTCGGTTACCGAGCTGGCCTTTCTATCGCAACTCGTCATCCAATCCATCTAGATATCTTACTGCACCATAATAGAGGTCAGGAGCACCATCTTGTTGAAACGTTTATGTCCAAGTTACCAAATTCATCTGGATTGTCTTTCAGAATTTCAAAAAGTAACTGCTCCTTTGCGTTTTGTAACACCAGGTGAATTCAAAAACAGGCCCAACTATGTGGTTTCCTAAAATACCTGTCTAGACATTTACTTTTGATGGAAAATGTACATGTTTTTTACGAAACACGGTGAGAATTTGTGTCACATTTTGAGTGTATAGTAGGATAGTATTCACTATTAGTTACACGTTATGCGTTTTTAGTGATGACGTCTGTGACGTAGGTATTAGACGGGAGACCGTTCTTATCGATCAGAGACGTCTCCAGGAGTAAAAGACAGTGCGGCTTGCAGATACGTTATCAGGAATAACAAAGAATTGAGAATGAAAGCTTAGCGCAATGTTGAATATAATTTAACAAGCAGTATCACAAGATAAAAAGATATCACTTAAAATAAGTCAGTATGTGCATTTTAAACATTTTTTTTCGAAAATGAAGGAGTTCTCTTGGCAAAATCTTCGACTCTTCCTGTGGAAAAGGCTTATGTTGGAAAAATACCTATTAACAAAGAGAAGATAAATGATCTTGTCAAACTAAAGCAGTATCGTCCGGAATGAGAAGACGTACTTAAATTTTATAAAGATAACTATAACTGGCTGGTTGATAATGATAAGGTTTGAGATGAAGTTTTAAATTAAATAAAAATTTGTTAAATAAACATATTATTTCGTTAAAATGTGTAGTTTTATTGTCTAAATAAATTAAAATAATATCCGTATATTTGAGAAACCCCATAAGTCGTGATATTAAATGACCGATTAAATTTTGGACAATCGTGGACAAACGAATGCCAACTTATTTTTATAAAAAGAGCAACTAATTTTTCCTATAAAGAAAGGAGCGGAAAATTGTGTTATAAAATTAGCCTAAAATGAGCCTAAAATTATAGCATATTCAGAATGTGAAAAATCCAAAGGTACTCTGCTAGCTTGATACGTATAATTTAGAAGCTGTTTATAACATTCTTATTTTGTTTTGTTTATTGCAAAATTATGATGGAATAAGTAACTAGTGACCTGATGGTGCATATAATTAGTATGTTAATGTAAGAAAAAAGAAATAAATTTTAGAGAACCGATGTTAGGTCTAATCTAATGAAAACTTTCTTTAGTTGATTTTAATTTTTTTTTGTGTTTGCCAATGATATATTTACAAATAATTAAGGGAACCTACAAGCAAAAATTATCTAAAAATCATTAGTTGAAATTTAAAAATTGCAAATACTCCATGAGTTTAAACTGTGACTTAGCCATTTTTTAACCTGTGCCCTACATATGTGTTCCAATAACATAATTTTTTTTTAAATCCAACTATTTTCCTCAATGTACAAGCAAACATTTTTTCATTATTAGCATATTAGTTTGGAATTATCACCAATTAAAAAAAGGCTATCTGATATTTGACCAAATTGATTGTTGATTTCACACACCATTTTGACAAAAATTATGCCGTTAGTTTGATTAAAATCGCATGGTGTAAGCCAGCACACTTTTAGTTTATAAAAAATATAAATGCACAAAAATTGCACATAATTATAGATAAGCTTTAATAATGTATCTATTAATTTAATACGTTGGGCATGTTAAGATTACTTAAAAAAATATATTTCTCCCAATGTGTTATTTACATAATTTCTCCAAATATTAAAGTTACTAAATACCTATGCAGAAAGTACAAACAAAAACGGAGTTTTGCTATTACGTGATTCATGACTATTTCAAATGTGGTAGGAATTTATTTAAGTAGCCTGTGATGTAAAACAGAAAAGTACCTAAAGTAGGTCATAGTCCACAGAGACAAGTATAAAGGTGCGTATAGATATATCGCGCCGGGCCCGGTTCGTGCCTGGGTCAACAGCGGGCCCAGGTTCGTCAGATTTGTACTTTATAAGGTATTCCGGTGTTGTGGATCTACAGCGTGATGGAAAGCAACGGATCTACTTTGATCCTATTTGGCGCGGCCCGTGGTAGACACACAGCACTGTACAAATCTAACAAACTTGGCTCGTTCTTGGACGACGCACGTACGGCTCGGGCCTATCGCTTTATATTTATACGCACCTTAAAGCAGCGTGTAAATATGGCGGACCGGGCTCAGGCCGTGCCTGCGTCGCCCCAAAAATGGGCCATCCTCGTCAGATATGTACGATGCCGTGTGCCTACCACGGGCCGGGCCGCATAGGATAGAAGTAGGCCCTTTGCTTTCCATCGCGCGGTAGTTCCACAACACCGTATAAATCTGACGAACCTGGGTCCGTTGTTGGTCCAGGCACGGCCCGGTCTCGACCCGTTGTATCTATACGCACCTTAATAATACAAAAAATTAGAGGTATGATACTTGGCCGACTAAAGGCATTTCTTTATAAGCTTACTACAACATACTTGGTTACAGTATTGTGGTTACTGTGGTGACATTACGCATACCATGGTTTCCCTATTATTGAATGTCATATGTCAAATTTAATTTAAGTTTGGGGATTTCTAAACGGAATTAGAATTTTAGAAATTTTAGGATGTTTTGGCTTTGTTATTTTTTATTATAGTATGTTCTAGTAAGGTTATAAATAAATGCCTCGTTAGGTATAGCTACATATGCTTTGGTAACATGTAACCAAAGCCGAGTAACCAAACGTTATAAAGAAATGCTCTGGTTACAGAAGTATGTTCTGGTAAGCTTATAAAGAAATGCCTTTTATCTCGCCAAGTTCGCGTTTGACGTATTGTAGTGTGGAATATGATTGATTTGATTGGCTATGAGCAGATTTAAATTTATTTTCGCGCACTATTTTCGATCAGCTGATCCTTCACACCACAATATGTCACCGTGACGTAGTATCAATCGGCGTCTTCGACTTTTTCTAGTGATTTTATTTTAAAATCCGTTTTTTTTATTATATAAAAATGAAAAAAAAATTAAATTATTAAAACAATAAAAAATAATATCAAGTAAGAGTCAAGAAACTCTTTAAATGCGTTATTTTTTTATTTTCGAAAAGTTTGATTTAATCGTGAATTTAATAAGTACAAACGGCCTAAAAAACGAATAAAGATAATTTTGCGGCGCAGTGTAGAAAAGTCCGCTCCTGCATTAAAAATATTATTGAGCTATTAGAACAATAAAAAGAAATAACTTTAAAAAGGAAAACAACACAATTTTGTTAAAACCTATAAATAATAAAAACATAAAATTGGATCTAAAATGTTAAGGAGACTTAACGAAATAGTTAAAATGAAAGACTTCTACTTACGATCAGAAGTAACGGCCAAATTATTAAGAGATCCAGCCCTAGTCGGAACTTCTTCCTGTAGATGTTGCTCTTGAGGATGGTAGCTTTTAGGTCTGACACGAAGAGAAGACACACTTCCACTTCCAGGTCCCACAGTAATCTGCAATCGACTCTGAAGTCCCTTTTGCGAATCGTAACTACTCGTGGAGTAGGTCAGACTTGAGTTCTGAGACGTGATGTTAATCGGGTCTTGTGGAGTTGATGTCGGAGGTCTCAATGTAAGGTTAACACTAGTATAACTTCGCGGAGATGTGGGCGTTTGCAACCAGGGTTGTGACGGCGTAAGTTGGAACGTTGATGTACGTTTGGGCTGCGTCGGACTTTGCACTACATCCACAGAACAGTTAACGTTTAGAGATAATCCGAGATTCGAGTTACCGATTAGCGTGTCCGTTGTTTGTGTCGGAGTTGAACACGTTTCTTTTTTAACTACACCCGCAGACTCGACGTTACTAGATCGTTTATGAATATCAAGAGTTTTATCCACTTTGGTTGGAGAATTTTTGGCTGCGAATCGTTTTGCACTTAGAGGAGACCGGGGGGGTTTTTCACTCAGTTCAGAATTGAGCAACTTGTGAACATCTTTGCATTTTTCCGAGAGTTGTATATCAAAGGTTTTTTTGGCTTCACTTCTCACATCACCAATGGTTGTTTTAAAGTCGAGGTAATTGGGTCTTTTGGCTAGTGTTCTAGGAGGGAATTCAGCTTGACTTTGGTCGCAGGGTTTTATTGGATTTCGGTTATCATCGACACTTTCGTTCATCTCGGTTTGTGTTCGGTTGGTGTTGAGGTTTGCCTTGGCCGAAATTTGTTCAATTTCTGGACTGGGAGAGATATTTAAGGGAGGTGATTCCAAATGTTTAGAAGATCGTCCCATCTGCCCTATGTTGTTCTCAGCTAACGCCGTTTCCAGAAGATCGACGATATTTTTCTCTTGGGCGTTCGACTGGATGTAGGTTGTTATGCAAGAAGTAACCACGTGGTCAGGAATGGTGGGAAATTGTTGTTTAAGTTCGTAGAATAGCTGCATAACTTTGACATTTGACGACCTTCGTTTGTTCCCGGCAAACATGGCCGGCCATTATGATTCATCTGAAAATATTTTAGAATTAGAATATACCAAAAAAATGTGTCAGAAAGCATTCTTGCTTTACGTTGATGTATTATCAATAGAAATATATTATAAATTAAAACTCCTGTAGAAGTTTAACAATAGTAGTTTGTGCAACAAGTATAGATATGGACAATCCACTCGTGCACTATATTTTTTCTACGACCCACTAAGAAAAATCTACAAATTAAAAAAATATATTTTAGGTTATTAAGACAAAATAACTATTTTTAAAATAATTTATGAATTTTACTAAAAAGATTTAATTTAATTAATCCCCAGCCCAGATTCGAACCCGGGCTTTTCGCGTGGAAGGCAGCCGCTCTGTCCTCACTTCTACCGCCACTTTTAGGATTTTATTTTTAATACTCGTAATTAAATTAGTTTTATGTAGTTTGATTAATTTTTTTTTTAAATGAAGTCCAAATAAAAATGCTATTATTTATCGATTCTATACAAAAATAACTCATTTTAATGTATATTTAATCTCAATATCTAAAAAATATACTGACAATTAGTTTGACAGAATTGTCACTCACTTAAATTTTAAAAATAATAGTAGTTGGGTGTCTAAATTATGAACTATGATTGGTGGATTTCATTTTTACTTTCCTATCTGTATACAGATAAGGAAAGTATAGGAATCATGATTTTTTTCGACCTCCAGTTTTCGACGGATTTTTACGTTTTGGGGTCCCCTGAATCCGTTTTGACTATTTTCGGGATGATGTCTGTGTGTGTGTGTGCGCGTGTGCGCGTGTGTGCGTGTGTGCGTGTGTGCGTGTGTGTGTGTGTCTGTGTGTGTCTGTGTGTCAGTGTGTGTGTCTGTATCCACCATAACTCATGAACCGATACAAAGAAAAACACCAAATTTTAAACTTAAGCTTTATTCCAGCCTGCGGTGAACTGATTAGATTTTGGGCAGAGTCGGAACATTTGGGGGGGGGGGGGGGTACTTTATTGGTGGTCATTCTTATATTTTATGAAATATATCCGTTATTTACGTTTGGAGAAGAAAATTCTTCAAATAAAAGTTACTTATAATATTATTATCTATAATTTTTGTTCTATACAATTTTTTTTTAAAATGGTCCGTATTCGAGAAATTTGACAAAATGTAATAAAATTCAAATTTTTAAGAAAATTGTTTAAATAAAAGTTATTTGTGATATCGATCTGTATAATTTTTGTTTTTTATATGATTTTTCTAAAATGGACCATATTGGAAAAATTAAAGGAAAAGTGCTAAATTTAAATTTTTCAGTATTTTCGTTTTCAATGAATATCTATAGAAAAATGTTTCGAGTTAGATGTATGTGGAAAATGTATATATTTAGTTTATCTTCTAAACATTTATAGAGGTGCTGCAATAGGTTGTACAAAATAACCAGAAAAAGCCTATAATAACTAGGAAAGTCATGTGTTGGACACATCAGATTTTTTTGCAGTGTTCTCACTACATCGAATGGATATAACATATATTCGTTCAGTTAATAGCAATAGTATACTTTTTAGTTTTGTAGTCTGTGCGTAGATAAGCCAATATCCATGTGGGTGTAGAAAAAAATTGGATGAACTAATAACGTCACCACTTTCGTGAACATGACGTCGTTGATTTTTTTTAAATAGAACAACATATATTATTTTTCTCTTCATTTTTGAATTCCCAAATAAGATTGAAAATTTCTGATATAACAATTGTCTCTAACTCACAAACCAATGACTTTGGACTATAAGTATTACGTGCATGCATTTTTGTAATTGTGAAGAGAAAAATATGTTATTTTATTTAAAAAAAATCGATGAAGTCATTACACGAAAATGGTGATGTCATTAGTACATCTAATTGTAGCGTAACATGAAAATAAAAATTAACCTGTAAAAGTATTTTGTTAAAATATTGAATTTATTCCAACCTACACGTCCTCAGTGTTTAATTTAGTAATTATAATTATTGGTTGATTCACTGGGAAATGCGCATATACGTTAGGGGTAAATAGAGGATACCGAGGTAGTTCTAATTAACCCTATTTAATGATTCTCTTATTCTTTATTACCAAGATACAGGGTGATTTATCAATTTTGCTCACGTTAATTAATATTCATACCTCATAAACCATACTGTATAATTTTTTATATGAACTACAAAAATTCTTTGTTCAGCGTATACATAAAAGTTGAACTACAGGTCCGGACTTAACAAAAAATTATTCACTTCAAAACAATACCCTGTATATCAGATTTTTAAAATTTGTAGGCTTATTAATTTAAGTTTATGTGGGTATAACATAAAAAAATTAATTTTGTTCCCTAATTAATAAATTTTCCAGTTGTAATAAAGTAAAATCATCAACCTTTTTTATGTTATCTTAATTTGTGGGTCACAATCTTCTAACTCATATTTGGTAGTAGTTTTACAACGTTGGGTGTCTCAAATTAAAGTTGTGCTTTTTTCGGAATGCGAATGTTTTCTCGTTTTAGTATTTGTTTAAAATTTAACATATTTTCTGTGCTAGTCTCGAGCGCGCACGGTGTCCCGAGATTCTATGTAAAAGAAAGGAGGAGAACGCGATACGAGCGAGAACACATGTGGAAATGCATGGGAAAGAACTTCACTGTGTGCGCTCGAAACTAGAACAGCCCGTGATGCGACGGGATCGCGATTATCTAATGCATTCTCACCTTTGTGTTTGTAAATTAGTCAGTTTGCAGCAATTTGAGCCATCCTATCAATACTTTCAGTAACATACCAAGTAAATGCAACAAGATTTGTCACTGTCGACCGATCTTTAATAAATCCATGTTACTAAGGTGTGATTTTACCAGTAATATGTGAAATTAATTTATTACATAATAAAATTTCAAAAGCTTTGGCAAAGTTACAAATTATGGAAATTGGCCTATAGTTTGTGACATTAGATTTTTCATCTTCACTGAAAGCTGGACGCATCTTAGAAATTGCCCATTACACGGGGACTGTCAAGGTTTTTAGGGATAAGTTAAATTGGATGAGAGGAAGGGGGCGGGGGCGAGGGGTGCCTGTCCCCATTGACCCCCCTTAGGTCCGCCAGCGCGCTAAGAAATGTAATAAATAAATTACATTTCCTTAAGCCTTGCACTGGTATGCACGCTGTACGCAAAGAATAATACAACATACAATACGGTTTTTACAATTATTATTTAAACGTCTCGGTAGTGCATTAGTGAGCTTTACTGCTACGTTTCTAAATATTTTCCAAGCACTAGAATTTTGTATAACCAACCAAAAGATGCAGTAAGGAGCGCTTGATTTTAAAGTGTACAAACTACAAACCTACATCTGAAGATTTATTAAAATCAAAAAAATCCAGTACAATAAGTCACTAATGACTATTCTAAAGAATTATTTGTTTTGTTAATTTTTAATAAATAAATATATGTAAAAAATATTACAATTTTTTTACTATAGCTAATAATAGCTTCGTTCGCGGTAAGAACCCTGAACTTATTCTGAATTAATAGTAGCATGCGCAGTAATTAAAAATAAACAATAGTACTTTACAAAGGAGGGTACTTTCTTTTGTATTGTAACGGTTGTTTAATTATTTATAGTTCATTTATTTAAAACACTTTATTTACAATTTATTTATAACTTACCAATTTATTTATATATTACTTAGACACTATTATAACTCACAATTCTAATTTATTACAATTTGTCTTTACAGAACACTTAAATTAAAATTTGTCGTTTGTCGACAAGTCGCGCTATTTATATAGAAATGTAATATTGTTGTGCCAGTTCGGCCCTGATCTTTGTTTACGCTTATCGCCGTTCAGCAGCTCGTCTGTGTTCTACATTCGCTGCCCGCCTCTACACTCGAGAAGTTACTGGAAGGTTCTTTGCTCGCGGGCCGACTCATAAAGAATGGATTTTGAGATACTAGACTGTTACATTTTTGTATACTCGTATAAGTCTGTGGTCGGCGCTTAAAAGGTAATAAGTTGATATTACACATTTTTGGAGAATGGCGCTGAAAAATTGTGGTACATATGAATAAGGATTTTTAGAATACAAATCGACGATCTTTTTAGGACATTTGGTCCTGTAAAAATTAAAAAATATGTAGAAATATTTTCTTTTAACTGTTTTATGTTACAAAATTTGACTGTTTATGTTTAATTATGACGTTTTGTCTTTCGCCGTTGCCCTTTATTATTATATATGTTTTTTGGACCTTATTTTTATTACTTTACAACGTATATAAACTTATATCTTTTTAACTACCTAAAATATACACTCTTCTAAACGTATCTTGACTAAAAACTCCATTTACGTAAAAAACGACTTATGACCTTTTAAGCGCCGGCCACAGAAGTGGTTTCTTTTGTCGTTAGTTGGTTAGTTTTAGAAATATATTTTGTCAAGTACAGATAAATTGTTACATATAAATCAGTGGTGTATTTAGTGAATATAAATCAGAATAATTAAACTGTTAAAATAAATAAACGTGACAATATATTAAGAAACCCTATTGTTAAATGAATTGATAATTTAATTTTAAATTCAAAATATTATGATTTGGATTTAGTTATATTGTCTTTTACCAGTTGGCCAACAATCCTAACTACCGACCTACAATAAAATTATTATACTTTTATGATTCATTTTGTAAAATAATGCCAGATGTTTTTATAACCGTATATGTACAAATGGTCTATTAATGTGTTCAGGAGATTTAGGAAGATTAAATATCTTTTTATGAATAATTCTCATTTTATTTCTCGAGTACTACAAAACGTAAATTTAATCCTAAAGGATTTATGAATAGTCATTATACTTTTAAAAAAATGATGTAATCAGGCGATTAAACAAGTATCTACCTACCTACATCAATCAGTTCTAATCCAAAAAAATAAAAAATCCTAGAATAATTTTAACAATAATAGGTTTCCACGCGTGTTGGAACAGACCTAATGGTTTTGTTCTTTGCATGGCAAA